AGTCTTACCCCATCTGCAGTCGCTCACGGTTACAGTATACCATAGCGCGAGGTCAAAAAGCATGCACAGCTCCTTCCAATACGCTTAATGCAATCGAGTAAATGCTCTTTGCAATCACATTCCCTAGCTAGGCCTGCTCTGCGCCACTTTCTAGGTCAGAGTATTGAATCAAACTCCATTTTACGCTCTCAAGCAAACTTGCATTTAATCCACTGCTTCACTGGTTACCCCGTTAATTAAAGATGATAGACGGGAACAAACGAACAGAATCCCTTTGTCCGAATGGGTAGTCGCAGTGTTGTCTGCATCACGGACCTAGTTGCAAGCAACCTGTGTTATCTCTTCTCCGTTTTCATTTTGTTTACCACCAACAAGCCTACGGATTCCGTAACCTACACCAGCTGTAATTTAGTCTTTTTTATACAGCGGGTCACATTTCACATAAATTCTCTCAACATCCACCTTCTGCGTTACTTCTGTCGAAAGACAACCTTTGATTTCACTCTCTGACTTCGGATCACACAAACGCGCACACATTTGACTCAGACACTAGTTGCAGGGGCTACGTTCTTCGTGTTTCTCATGCCATTTACGCGGAACGGTTCAAGCGAATCTCAGAAGCATGCTTGTGCATAGCCGCTGCATGTGTGTCCGGTTTCCTCGATCACCTTAGTCAGTTAACCAGCGGTGTCTGAGAGTGGATACTTCTGCAGAATAAGGTGTACCATTGATAACTCCTATGCTTCACCAGAGTGACCAAGCTACTGATCCAGTGATCCCTGCGAGTAACAGTAATTTTCAGGCATTCCAAACCATGTCCCCTAGTTGGTCTTGTGTTCGGCGCTTATTCGACTGATGATGATGATGATCAGTTTCCTGGTTCGTGTTCTGACCACTGCCTTTGCCTCAGTAGCACATTCGCCCCGTATAAACATTGTACTTTGTCACTTTCTGTGTCCATGGAACAACATTCTATCCTGAACTCGAACTGTTTATACTGTTGCCAGCTGTAAATGGTGCATGTCGGTCCAATATTACCAGTCTGTTTGTAACGCCTATTTATAACCCGACCCCACCTTAGTGCGTGCCCAGTTAGCGCTCACACTTCCGGTCTTGACATAGCGTCTCCTCTCACGACTACTTTTTCCACCTCTGAGCTCACTTCCCACCGGATAAGACTGTCACTCCTGGTTGGGATGTCGGATATCAATGACAGATGATGCGAATGACCCGGATGTTTGTTGACTTTTCCTACATACTACATTGAATAGCTCTTTCTGAGTCGATCGTCCACACAACTCGAAATAGCTGGATTGAGATTTGTAGTTCCTTGATTGAAACGCTGAAGCTGTTCTCACTTTTATGACGTTTACAACATTAAGGCAGCGTGACACATGAAGACGCAAGCAGCAAGTGTGGGTCCACAATGATTTTGATGAATGGAGAATTATCTGAAAAAGAACGCACTGACGGATTTCTTCCGTACCTACTGCTTTGAGCCTTGGGCTTGACCTTTTGCGGGGCAGTCAGACCGTTTTCTGGTCTACCGCTGCCTGGCTGGCATATTGTTGTCGCGTCTCCCAGCATTGTCAAGCTCCAACACCAAACAGCTGTGTTGAAGAGGAAGGTGTCAAGTGGGTTCGAATATTTCACTTTTTTTGGTAAACATATTTCGGTTCATTAATTATCTGCTAAACCGCTTTGTTCAGCACTGCTTCAAACTGGCGGTTCCTAGCTTTTCTTATCTGTTAGGTGGACGTTGAGTGAAAGCCATCGAGCAGTTGGCATCGTTTCTCTCCTCTCACCGGTCTTAAGCTATGTCAACTGAAGGAAAGCCATATTTTAACGCTCGTGTGGATGATGCACTGACCACAAAACATTGGAACGACATTAGACTTGCAGATAACCTACATGTTGGATTTCTTTGACCTATACTGAAGCTTTTGTGAGCACATCTGGAAGATTAAACTCTAGTAGGATTGACAGGCCTATTTGTCGATTTTTATGTCTTGCTTCCATCGATAGCGTCTGTACACTGTGTGATTGTTTCTTTGTGTACTCAACATTTGGATTGGGATTGGATGCTCGCCGCTATGGTATATCCTTCCTACTCTAATCGCGGGAGGTGAATGCTTTGCAGTATCCCAGAGGCGAGGACTTGAAAGCTGCTTATCTTGGCGGTTGCATTCACATTGACAAGTGAATGATAACAGCTTTATGCCTCTCTAATATCCCCCATTATGTGTGGGAGTTGATGGAACTGTCCACTCTAGATGAACAGGTTGGATCGTAGTGGCAAGCGAGACAGCCATACGCACGCGAAGCCAACAAAGTGTAATTGACTGCACTAACCGTGACCATCTACTTGACTCCTCTGCGCAGTTGACAACGTTTGACCACTTAATCAGTCCATCGGTTCTTTTGTTTGAACGAAACAAAATTAGCAGAGTCGCTTGTTTTACTGTGTGACAATTTCATACTCTTTAGATGTTGCCTAACAATGTATAGCGATCATTATTGGCGCCGTGTATGCTGATTGTTTAGCTAATTTCACCTTTTTGATGTACTCATGGGTAGGAGATGTTTGATGTAATTAAGTGAGGTTCTTCGCAGCCAGTTTCCAAATCAGATAGTCTTTCATATGCCCGGAAAAGCACTCGACTGCAGTTTCAGCCTGTTGGGCATCGTCAGTAGTGCGCATCCATCGGGTCCTTCAGGATTCGAACTCATGACCAGCGGCTTGAACCGCCAGTCAGCAACTTATGCCACTGGGCCACGGCAGACAGCTTCGGACCGTTATGATTTACAAGCTAACATCAAAATATACCTGCCCTGACAGTTTCTAAATGCTATGTTGTATATAGCCACTGTTAATGAACGTCATGTCTTTCGGGGCCAACCCTGTCCTCTGCAACGTTCGTAACTTGCATGGCAGTGAAGGATAAGACACGCTATATCACAATTAGCTTGTAAATCCGAAGCTGTCTCTCGTGGCCAGTGGCATATGCTACTGACTAGCGGTTCAAACCTCTGGTGGTCATGGGTTCGAATCCTGATGGATCCGATGGATGCGCACTACTGACGGTGCCCAACAGGCTGAAACTGCAGGCTAGTGCTTTTCCGGGCATGTGAACAACTGTTTGATTTGGAAACTGGCTGCAATGAACCTCACTTAATTCACCTTTTGCCGAACAACTGGTTTTCGCCGCAGCTCCGGTGTGACATTGTCCTCGCTTTCGACATAATGCTGTCTTTTGATGGTCGTTGTTTTTCAACATTAGCTATTTGTTTGTGGTAGTCGTCTTGGCCCTGTTGTGTTTATGTGGCATTGCATTGGACAATCAGCAGGTTCACTGACGTGTAAGTAGCACAGAGTCTATAGACCTATGGGCGATGTAAGTTCCCATACCAAGCTGTATGCTTCATGAGACCCGTTACACACACACACACACACACACACACACACACACACACACACACACACACACACACCACTTAAGCTACTTGTTCGTGTTGGCTGCCTAATCTGATGCGAATTGTAGTCAGTGCCACGCTCTCTGTGCACTGTCCGACGTCTGCATCCCACTTGTTCCTCACCAATCCACAGTCCTGGGACTCAGTTTCCTCTGGGTGTAGATGTAAATTTGCCTATTGTATCGTGGCTTCACTCTTTCCTTCAATGAGCAGCCGTTCGCCCCTCCGAGCAGTCAGTGCATCATTACACTGCTTTCAGATTGTAGAGGAGTTCTACATACCGATAGACAGTTTAAGGATGCACCATTGTTACATCTGGTGATCCTGTATCAACACGTACAACGCCACGTTATGGCATCGGCTATGAATTGTACTCATCCCCATGACTCAGCTTGTGATCCAGATGGTTGACGTAGCCTATCTTGTGATGCGGCCTACTCGACACTCTCTTACCTTAGTCTATATTGTCAACTGTCTTGCCTGTGTCATGTTGCCTTGATGTTTGGTCAATACAGTATTTGGTCCGCTCACTTCTGTATTATGACGGCTCTAGGGCTCTTCGCAGTAGCCTCGAGGTCAGATAGCCCTTCACGCACCCGAAAAAATACTAGACGGCGGTTTTCTCCTATCCGGACTCGTCTGAATCCAAACTCTTACCAACTAGCGGCTCGCCAGTCAGCATCTCATGCCATTTCGCCATAAGGGGGCGGCGATGGACCGTCATGAATTTCAAGCTAACTATTGAATAGCGCAACATATCTTCCACTTCCATGCAAGTTACAAACGTTGCAGAAAGCAAAGTTAGCCCCGAGAGTCTCGGCTTCCACTGTCAGCAGTTAAATACAACAACATTTAGCATTTGTTGAGGCACATATTTTGATTTACTCATGAATAGGGACTTTAGATTTAAATAACTAGTAGCTGCTACGAAGAACCCTTAATTAATTGCCTCAAAAATTCCCTATTCATGGTGAACCGCGATGTAACAACTGGCGACAGAAATGGCTGATCATTCACAACCAACCTATTCATTAACACCGCATAAAGATTACATGCAACAGCGACAGCGTCCTGTGATTCAGCGATAACAGAGACAAATGTTATGGTTCTAAGCACTCACAGAGAAACTTTCATCTGTAAATCTGACATCTGCTACGATTAAAACCGAATCCATTTCAACTGCAATATTAGTCAAAAAGCGCAAGATTTTTATTAAGACTCGAAAAATGACACCACTTTCGCAACCTGGTACAGGCCGTATGGAGACACTTCTTTCCATACCTTTCTGTTAACACAATTTCCACATGTGGTCCACTTTTCAGGCCATATTTCACGATATTGGACACGTAATAATTTTCTTTTCCCATTGCCCAACAAGGATGTGGCGGCTCTGTGGCTGACCCCGAACCTTCATGTTTTCTTTCGTAAGCTTAGCTGATGTTCCGTTATCGCCTCCATCTGTCTCTGCTATTATACTCCTTACGTCAGTTATTCATTGTCTCTCGTTTTTCTCCTCTCAAACGCAGACATACGCATCCCATTGCTGTGGCGCGATACGCCTCTCGGTACGGGGATGCAGTTGCTCATGAACCGATTGTTTCCGTCCACCTCCATCCTGTCCACTGGCATCTTGGCTGGTTCCGGTGACAGCACGGACAAATCGGATTCGGGGGATCAGTGCGAAGGATACAGTGTTTTCTGTCTGGCTCAAGTGGGCAATGTAATCAAGGACACACAGCTTATTTTTGACATAAAACCGGGCACTACCGACATCGAATTCGATGACAAACTGATCTTGTAAGTCACCAGATCGAAAACACTATCCGTCATCTGATCTTCTGATGCGTTTTCGCTCGATTTCTCTCAAACACTGCGTATTGCATGGATGGGGACATACTTGTCAGCTTACGGTGCGTTTTCCACTGTCACAGTCGCGTGTTTCTCAACGCGAACCTCACTTGTTATTGCACTGCTTCGGTGGATCATAAAATAACCACTCACTTCACCCCAACACCCATTGGTCGAATGCTCAAAAAATCAACTGTTCGTGACTGGATTACTAATACTATACCGTGAGGTGTGGTGAAACCACCATCACCTCACACCGGTAGGTTGCACGATTTATGGACCGAAATACAAAGGGATTTGATCAATTAAATGGTCGTCGCCATTTTCTTTAACACTCCTTTAGTATTGGTAGTTACACAAATGTATGTATTTCTTTAGTGTTTGCGAAGCTTTGCGTATGATTAGTGGCACAGATCATTTTGCGTGGGTGTGCTCCTACTCTCCCATATTTCGTAGACCTGCCAAGTGAAACCACATTATGTCACTCTACAACACATGCTCACGCATGTTATCCAGCTGGTACCGAACTTTAGCTTTTCTGTACCGCGGCACACTTTGAAAGTATCCATTAAGGACCATGGACACAACAACCCAGCCCCAGCTAATATGCGTTCTGCTAAACCCGTTTTGCATCTGTCTATCTCTATTAGTACAGTTCTGTGACCTATGGTTTAATCATCCAACGCTATTTCCAGACTGCTATGGCCCATTGGTATTTTTATTTCGCTTTCTCGGCGTCATAAATTGTTTTCTTTCGAAATCCATTACATCCAGCTTCAGGTTTATTTCACCGCGCCAAGTTTAATGCTTGAGATGGTATGCTTGGATGCTGTAATGAGTGGTACCAACTCCTTTTTTTACTCATAGTAATGCCGATTACAGCTTAATTCTTCCCCCCATCAACCTCGCTTATTGTGCGCAAGCGATCAATGTTCTCGACGCAATCTGCACCATTCTGTCATTCATCTTTGCCGTAACTGCGCGTTCTTGGTGTAGTGGTTCCGACAATTGGATTACGATCTACACCATAAGTTCCAGCCTCCGCGCACAATTGCTTATGGTTGCCTGACAGCGTTGCATCAGAACGAATTTTACTGTTTGTAGTGTATGCAGTATCTGAGTATGACTGTTCCTGTGCCCAAGTTATTCGACGTCATCTTGCAGACTGCAAGGAGGACTGTGATACATCCGCCGCATCAGATTTCTCGTTATGACTCGTACGTGACATTCAGCAACTTTCCTGTCTTTCGTCACACAGATTTGCGATGGATAGGCTCAGACCAGGATACTCCGATTTGATAGCGGAACTGCATACCCTCGTCTTTTCTTACTTAGCCTCGTGCACACTTTGAACCAGTACAACTTCTATGCACCTGAATCACATTCTGCATTGCGAATGTCAACATTTTCTGAGCATACGTACTTATTTGTTTGGCTTCACCAATCAGATGAGCACTTTGCAGTCCTCGTTCTCTTACGCAATGGATTTGATGCAGCGACACATGATCTTGATTGTAGTCTCATAGCCTTTGGCGATTCGGACGCATCGCTTTGCCCGGTTGTCTGTTAGTTTGCGGCCGGTATGAGTCAACCTGTGATGGAATAGCAGCATATCTTCGTCTTCATTTGAGAATCAGTGTACCACCCACCCACCTATTCGGTCAAAGCATTGTCTCGTTCACTACTGGACCCAGCGACTCGTTCCACTCACTCACATCGCATAGTGAGTAACTTCATTCCCAGAGCAATATAGTCAAACCTGTCTAAGGCGACCACTGAAGGGACTGACAAAAAGTGGTCGCCATGGACAGGTCTATACATAGGAACAGTACTCATAAGAGAAAACGCTGGGGATGTTTTTGGCTTGTCGTCATAGCAGACTGGATTGTACACAGATCCATCCTTCAATTTACTTAGGTGACTCGATTGCCACCAGCGAAGGATTGTGAATGGGCTGGGTTTGTATACCAGTCTACCTGACGCCGCATTGTCCGCCTCTAAAGCCGCAGTTACTTGTTGTGTACCTGGTTACACCAATGAGTTTGGTCTTCACAGCCTCAGACAACCTTCTGGATGAGTTTTGGATGGTGCACGGTTGTTTTTGAACATTCAAAGGATTTCCACACTTGCATTCTCACTCAGCACAATTCAGCTTTTCCATTCTTCCATGTTCTGCTTGTAACTTGCGACCGGTGACCGAAAGGGCAATACGCCTGCATTATAATTAAATGGTCACCGATCTGAATTTACCTAGGTGCGCAACCTCGTGGTCAACACAGTGCACGCCCGGCTGGTATTGATCGCATGACGGCGAAGCGTCGGTTCGGTGCGTCGGTGTACTGCTGAAGCCCCCTTCTTTTGTAACATGCTTGTCTAGCTTTTACTGTCCGTATGCCATTTTTTTAACAGCGACGACGTCACAGCGGATTTTCGTTGCACAATTGAAGTGTATGCGTACCCGCGTTCCCCTTCCAAAGGCTCGTCGGCTTTCGCTCGTCGCCGGACCCTCTTGTTGGACAACCTGCGAAAATCATCTGATCATGTAAGTTATTCATGCATGCGAGCCTCAGGTTCCGCTTCACAAGTGGTTCAAACATCCGCGTACTAACGCTCTGGGGTACTCTCTTGCTCCCAATCACTGGTTTCTTCACTCGACCATCCATTCACTCGACCATCTCCACCTCCTAATGTTTTGAAATTAATCCATTTTTGCCGCATTGTTGCTAATCCTTATCGATACGCTGGTAACTGTATTGTGTTGTAAAACCGACGAACGCAATGCACCTCGGAAATAGCCACTGATTTCTCACTATGCACAATGAACCAATGACAACACTGCTGTGTTCAGCAATGATAGGCCGCATGCATTGAATCCCTGCTGCAATATGGCACACGTTCGTGTATGCTTTCTAATCACAGTATGCTGCATTTTTCCTCTAGCATTCTATTGATATTGTGACGCCTGTTCTTGGCTAGTAGCTCACTTTGGTTTATCGGCCCATACATTTTTTTGTCTATTTTAACATGCATTCATAAGCCGACGCTGCAAAACCTGTATGATTTCTGAATAAGAGTTTTCTCGTGTATCGTGATGTGTTTCCAGTGCACTGATCTTTACTCGGTTTGGTTACTCTTTAACACTGCAGCATATGAGAGAAGCATTTTCAGACAAGCATTTGTTGGCTGTTTCCTGTTCCTCAAATGCGCTCGTCATCACATTGACTTTATCACAATTGTCTCAATACTACCCACATGCCCAGTTGGCTAACTTTTTCCCGGCCATGTCGCTTCATTGAAGTCCATCCCTGTCCCCACTACGCTAGAGGTCACGTCTACCACGAACCTACAGTTCCTCGGTACCAAACAGACCAACGCGCATGTGGACAACTTGCTGTAATTATCTTTTTCACCTGAAGGACACGTTTGATTACATCTGCTTGTTGCGCTACTTGTCGCCGGACGGCTCATCAACTGACATCTGTCGTGAACTCTTTGTTCTACATCCTCTAGACCTATGAACAGCTTTGTTAAAGGTTTCTACTCTCTGTCATCGCGATCATGTGTTCGTTGTCACTTTGTTCTTTTGAATAGGCTTGGAAACCCACGTGCTTGTTGGTGCTTTTGTGCCCTAAAGCTGTGAGCTGTGGTAGCTCGTTGTCATTAATGCCTCCATAATCACCTGTATCTTTGATTTGATCGCTCCCACCCACCCCCTTGGACTTCTAGCATAAATGCAGCTTAGCTGAGTTTAAAACTGTCCACTCCTTAACTTCCGATCGACTGGCAACCCAGCTTTACAGACATCACTTGTGCTAGAGATTGGGAATTTATTTGGGCTCTGGGTCGGGTTGTCCTACCACGCATGATGTCGACGCTTAGATGCAGAATGCCATCTCAATCCGCATCCGCATGAGGATCACTCTCCGGCACATGCGTGTGCTCTTTCAGCGTTATTATGCTTAGTTGACCAATTGGTTCTCCTCGTCAGCCACGGAGGTACGGTGTTTGTCTGAGGACATTCACTAACCCCTACTCTTTCACAACGTGCTTGCTTCTGTGCCGCACTTCATTTTTACTTGAGATCACGGAGGTCACACGATCTCTTTGCCATCTTGAGCGAAGATTTGCGAAATGGACCTCTCAACACGTGCATTCTTGCCTAACAGGTTGCAACTCCAGCATAGCGAATGTGCCGGGCTGTGGATTCTTTCCGTCTCTTCTGGGATTAGTATCGTTGATATCCACATCTCTCCACTCCTTACCTCCCTCATTTTCGTCTTCATCGCATCCTCCGTCGTGAGTCGATGTCGCCATAGGTTTCGACCTCCAAATTTCAACTGTCAGTTTTTTATTATCTTATGTTGTTTCGCTTTGCTCTGTTCGTCTTTTTTGTTTTGCTGTTCTTTATTTTATATTTTATTTTAACCTTTCTTCACCTCTTCTCTGGTTGCTTTCGACAAACTGCACTGGACCGGACCCAATGCCATTTATTTGACTGTTATTTTCCCATTCTCCACACATCGAACGATATGTCCCCTCATAAGGTGAACTCGTCTCTGAACAGATCAGTGACGGGCTTCCTGAAACTGGTCTATCAAATGAGTTAGTAAATCACAGGTGCTTGATGTTTGGTTTCGCAGACACATTTGGATCCGAACAGTTCGCGTGACTTTCCGCTGCTAACACTTGCGGCGACTGTTTAGTAATCGAAGGTAAAGCTCTAGCAATCACCACGTAGTGTTGGATACATCACCGACCAAGACTTTGGATATCTCGCGCCGCGTACCCCAATCTGTCGTCCATTTTTCATCTTACCATACATTTCTCTTACTTAGTTGTACAGTAGCTCGGCCTGCACGGAAATGAGCTATCTTCATCAACGAAACTATGCACTTCAATTACCCTTCTGATGGGGGCATCATCTGTAAGGAATAACTCCCGTAGCAATCCGGAGAATCATTGGTAGGATAATCGAGCACCTGAGTCGATTCTGATCCTCCAGCAGCTGTGGCAAAAATCAGGACTTCTTCCATTACTTTCTACCGTTTGTCACTTGTCAAAGTCACGCTTCCTCAAGGTAACATTCCTTTGAGCTGTGACAACAAAGTTTCTGTTCTTATTTCAATTCACCCCAAGCCCGTTTCCTATTCCTCCTACCTACAGTGCATTTCCGTAGTTTGGCTCTTCCTTCTTCACTACTAGTGATTATCCCCGCAATTTTCGTTGACTTCCAGCATTTATTTCGCCACCAAATTATTCCTCACTTAACCCTTGTTTCTGAGTTCACTATTTCCCACTGCTAACCGATTTGGTTGTGGACACTTCGATGGAAGACTACTTGCAATCTAATCGTCCCTTCCTCAGCTCACCATCGAAGTCATACAGCTCGAACATGTAGGTAGTTTTGTCTACCTAAGGAGCTGCATTTCTACTGACGACACTATTGAAAAGGAAGTATCCCTTCGTAGCGCGGGAGGCCGGTCGGTTTTTGCCAAAGTGAGGCACTTGTGAAGTCATCGCGACATTTCGCTGTCGTTACAGTGTTTGGTCTGCAATGCCAGAGTCCGCGCAGTGCTGTTGTATGGATGCGAATCCTTACCGTTCCGTGTAGTTGACGCGTAAGACTTCGGCCTTTAACGGTGACTATTTGTGAAAGCAACATCAAGTGCATAATGATGATGTCACACACCGTGATTTTGGCAAGAGCGCTCTCCCCCCCGTCTGTGAACTTGTCTTGCTACGCCTATGGAGATGGGTTGGCCATGTCCTACGCATCCCTACCGAGCGTTCATCACACCGCATCTTTTGTGCTCGCAGAGACGCAGTGGAAGATGCCGCATGGCGGCCAGTCATCCACTTGGCGCTAAAGCATGCAAACGTTAACATCTTGCCCAACCATCCTCGACTCAATACGTCTACTCGATTGGGGATTCAGGAATAAAGAATGTCAGTGGCTCAGAACGCTCGAGGCAATGGCGCAACACTGGATGCAATGGAAGTAATGCACGCAAATTTGCTTGAATTCCTGAGTTCAAAACATGAACTCTTAAAAATTGAAAAACGGTGCAAAATGGCGTGTGATAAAAGGCAAAAATACCTATGTTCCTAGTTTCTCTTAAATACATTTTTTTTCCTCGATTCATAACTCAATGGTTTTGAATGGCTCGATGTGTATTCCTATAGACTGATGTCAATACTTATAATCGTTTAGGGTCTGCATGGTTCTCATCCTAACTACCATTTGTCTGAGCAGCACTGAGGTTCCTCGATGAGAAGTGCTATCGATGGACTAGTGAGCTGCACAGCGCGTGCCTTTTTCTCACGGAACGTTTTCTTGAGTGATTTATTAGAGCTTGAATATCGATCCTTCTTCCCGGTGCAAAAGCTTGCCGTACATTTTGAGTATCATGTCGTTGGACAGATCGACTTTACCTAACAACATTGTAAACCAATCGCACAGAACTTTCAGGAGTCTGCTACTGAACCTCAGGCTACTTCGCAGTTGTCCCACGTATCATCAATATGCCATTTTCACTTAAAAAGCATTTTATTATATTAAACAGGGGATAGTGCTTTTTAAACAGAAAAGTGAAGAGTTGTCCTGCTGCTACCTTTGTCAACTTTATCGTCATATTGAGGACGCAGTTCGTGCAGCCCTGTTGCGTTACCATTTCAACACCCTCCCGAGTGACTGCACTTAGGGCCTCATCAGTCCTCGGGTTGGTCATCTGGGGTCCTGCCGACGCTGTCGCTTAAGAAGACAAATTTTCCACTGGGTTTATCAGGTAGGATTAAAACGACAGAGATTTCAGTTGATAAAAAGAACCCAGTATCCTCGTTAGATCGTCCGTCATCTGGATTCTGCGTTGTTCACAATCACCCAAGTACCATCCATCGCCACCCTGCAACCTATATGCACCACTAGCTATTCGATTCAAGAAAACACCGTTTGCAGTGATATGCAAAAGATTTTTTCAAATTTCAGTAATAACTCCCTTTGCATCTTCTTTTTCCCTCAATGATACGTCCCGAGCAATTTTATGTCTGACCCAGCTCTTTTTAGGCGTATCTGAACGCCTTTGTCTACTGCGTCGCGAAACTTGCCTTTGGCTCCATACTCCCAAAGTACGATGTATCGTTGTTATAGTGTGTTCACACAGGGTCAACTGTTAGCTTCGTTTGATCGATTTGTTCACCTAGCTTCTTGTACACCAACTCCAGAGGCCACGCAGCCGAAACAGACACTGCACGAATCAGTTCGTTTCTGCTAATTTGCGAAACTATTGTAGATTGCACCTCCGGTGAAAACTGAAAGAGACAGACAGTTTTGCTTGTCTTGCTAGTGAGCCCGAATTTGGCCGCTATCGAAGCCAGAGCACTAGTCATGTGCTGCAACTCATCCGCGCTGTGTGCAAACAACGCACAGTCGTCAGCAAACAGCAACATACGGATACTTATCTCACATACTAAGGTTCTCACACCGAAACGACAGATGTTCAGCAACCCGCCATCAATACGGTGCTCCACACGAACACCGTAAGCATAAGCCGCATCCAAAGCACAAGACATCATGGCATGAAGATATATGTTAAACAAGGCAAGAGCTAAGACACAGCCTTGCTTCACACCAGAGATAATTGCAAAGTCACCCGAGGTCTCCACCCAGCTGCACCCTCGCTCGCATACCACTGAGCAGACATTCGATTAAACTTATAAACTTACGCGGGCAACCAAACTTATCCAGCACCAGCCACAATGCCCCGCGGTTCACGTATCAAATGCCCTGGTGAAATCAACAACAAGCGAGTACAATGGCTGGTTTCGTTCTCTGCACTTCTGCGACTGACTAGCCCGCAAACACCATATCTATAGTGCTGCGACCCGAACGGAATCCACATTGCTCTTTCGCCACGTTCGGTTCTACAATCTGACTGACGAGGCGGTTGAGCAGGATTCGGGCAATCAACTTGCCCACAAAACTCAGCAAGTTGATGCCACGATAATTCGTGCAACATTGCTTGCTGCCTTTGCTCTTGTACAGTGGTAGCACAAGGGCATCCTTCAGCTCAGCAGGCACCTCCTCCTCAATTCATACGCGTTGTGTTAAGTGGTGCAGCGCAGTCAACAACGCGAGTCCGCCGTGTTTCAATACTTCAAGGGGGGATCCCGTCGGCACCGGCATACTTGCCGTTTCGTAGCTGAGCAAGCGCTCTCTGCGTCTCATCCAATGTTGGCGCGTTCGCCAGACTCACCTTCACGTCGCACTTTTTCAGGCCAGTCGATCTCTGAACGGTTGTTCAACAGACAGTCAAAGTGTTTCCGCCTGATCTGCATTATGTCTGCAATCTGTTTACAGGTAGTGCCTGAACTGCCATTGATCAGCGTCCTCAGCGGCTCCAGTATCGGGCCATGCACCGCCTTCAAGGAGTCAAAGAATTCCTTGTGTTGGCGGCGTTCGGCGTAGCATTCCATCTGCCTCGCCTTCTCCGTCCACTAGGCACTTTTAATGCGACGGAGCTCTCGGGTCAGTCGCCGTCGAATTCTGTCAAAGTTTCTCTTCTTCTCCAAGTCACTGGGGTCTGCAACATGTGCAGCAAATGCTGCATTCTCCTCCGACACCAATGCGCCAATCTTCGCATTGATCTCATCACATCAATCAGGCCGCTTACAGTTTACGCGCCTGATGGTCTCTTCGGCAGCAGCTTTCACCTCTTCGCGAGTGTGGTGCCACAGGTCGCCCACTGTGGCTATGCCTTCCACATCACACAGGTGGGCAGCCCTCACCTTCTCCAGCTCAGTGCGTTTCGCCACAGTACCGAGGGAGAGAACGTTAAATTTACGCCGATTCACGGCGGGAGTGCAATACATAGATTTACGAAAATATATGTACAGTTTGGTCCGCACCAATTTGTGGTCAGTGCCACACTCAGCTTCATGCACTCCACGTGTCATACGCACTTCACGCGTATCACGCTGACATACGATGACACAATCGAGCAGGTGAGCGTGACCACTCCGTGGGTGCGTCCAAGCTGCTATATCACTCGCACTCGGTGCAAACCGAGTGTTCGTGATCATCAGGCCGTGAGTGGCACACAATGAGAGCAGCCTGTCACCGTTCGCATTTGCTGAGCCAATGCCATGCGAGCCGATGACAGCTGTCCACACTGATGCACTACGCCCAACGCGCGCGTTGAAATCACCCAGCAGAAATAGTCGGTCGCTCCTCGGCACAGACCGTATCACGGAGGATAGCTGAGTATAGAATTGATCACGCATGCCATCAGGATAACACATGGTCGGACCGTACGTGCTTATAAAAGTGGCAAACTTGCCTTTTTCGAGTCGTAGGTGAAAAGTCATCAGTCGCGCGTTGGTGCCTGTTGGTTCACCTACCAGGTGACCATTTTGGCCATCGGATATTGCAAATCCGACCCCATGTTCACGTGGTGCTATGACGTTGCTCACCGAGTAGTATGTGTAGTCAGCACCTGCTTCATGCAACTTACCTTGCTCAGCGAGCCGTTTTTCACTGAGCGCCGCGATATCGATGTTGTAGCGCGCCAGCTCCATCGCGACGAGTGCAGTGCGTCGCTCGGGGGCACTCACTCGAGTTCCGGTCCAGTAGTGTGCCCAGATTCCAGCACCCGATGCTGAGTGCTTTGCGCGCAGGCATACGATTGCTTTGGTGGGCAATAGCGCGCGAGATTGTGCTTGTGATTCGGAGGTTTGCTTGATTGACTCCACCAGAAGCCTTTGGCTCAATAGCCTTACAAGGCATTGGGTGGTTTGGAGGTTTTTTTAAGGGACTCCGCGCCGTGCCTTTGTCTCCATCGCCTGACCCACAAGGTAGTGGGAGCAGATCCAGCTGGGGAATGTGATTGCAGAGACAGATTGGGATCTGCTTGAGGTCCGTCACACGAAGCCGTTCAGGTACTGGAACGATTTATATATGTTTTGCGACCGTAGTAGGATACGCGTTAGCGACCACTGTCAGGCGCAGGTGGGTTTTGGCGGGTTTGCACCAGTTTGACCAGGTGCTGCCTGGCTTGAGGCGGACAGTAGCCAACCATTGAGCACCTGGAGCTGCCATCCTACCGTCAGAGACAATTCGTGGCGCTCGTACTCTGCGCCAATCGAGCTGTGAGCTTATAACCCATAGACCTGTTGTCTCCCATGGTTAGGTTTTACGGGAAGAGGGTCATCGACCACTTCCTAACCTCCGAAGAGGATGAACTAGGATACTGTCAAGGCGCCCATGTCTGACAGGAGAACGATTAGGATCTTCAGCCAAGGCCTTCGATTAAATGAACACTCGAAAGGCAGCGGGTCTAGTACATGGTCAGTTCACTGACTCATGCAGATTGGTGTTTTGAATCTTAGCAGGGAGAAGGGCGTAACCGAGCTCCCACTCAGCGGTCGCCACGAGGAGGCGTTCAGGACATGAGCCCATGGCACAACAGTGGTAGCAGTGGGTAAATCATCTGTCAGGATCTAGCCACCACCAGCCTCAGCGCACCATAGGCTCTCCCGCTCTGGATTATGCTGACGATATTACCATCATCTGTGACAGCTCACAAACGTGTTAAGCAACACTGGACCGATTAGCACTGGCTCTCATCCGTTTCCTTCTGTGCTTGGCATTTACGAGGTGCAAATCTTTCCTCCCAAGTTGGTTGGGACTGCCTTCTGCCCTGACCCTTGGTGTAGATCGGCTAGAAGTCGTTGAAAAATTCACCTACCTTAGCAGTTGTGACAGTGTGGTTGCAATCAAAGACGGGGTCACAAATTGTATAGCAAACGCTCGAGTCGCTTTTACTAACCTTCGCCACCGGCACAACATCACTCTCTCTTTCAAGTGCGGTTGTGATACCTGGCCCATTGGATTATCCACGAGACATGGATGCTAGTTACGTTCGATCGTTGGTGCCTTCGTACTTGGCTCATATCTGGAAGGAACGCCGTGTGAGCAATGAACGTGTCCGGCGCCTTGTTTGTGGCGCAGGAAGAAGAAGTGAACCTCTCAACACTGTTATATCACGCGTCAGGCTCCGGTGGCTGAGCCACCTGTTACGCATACCAGCCCACTGACTACCGCGGCATGCGTTGTTTCCTCTCCGGAGGGTCTGGGTGGAAGACGAGGGGGGGTGACCAAGCGATGACTCGGTCGAGAGGAATGAAGGCCCTTAGTTCAAAGTCGCACACAGTTGGAGCGTCTGGTTTCTCTGTTTTGGGTCAGAAATCCAATGCACATGTTTGGCTGATACACTTGTTGACATGGCAAGAAGCGGATTTCAGTGGCGTTTGCCTTGTGAATTTCTATGGTTCTCCTCCTCCTCCAACGACGATCTAATTTAATAGGCATAATATAACTCTTTTGCGGCACAATAGCCGGCTGTCAGCTCTCCGGAACGGTGTTCCTCCGTTATTGGTGACTCAGCCGGTGTGCCTCTTTTGCATGTTTTTCTTCCTTTATATTGCGGCACAGTAGCTGAGGTGTTTTTTTACTTCTGGCTAACGTGTATGATGATGTTAGTGATGATTGTAACGTCTTCACTCACGACTTCCACGTTTAAAACGTGCTTACCGGACAAAATGCGTCGGGCGCTTTGCTCTTCAGCTGAAAGATACAGCCGCACGACATCACCTGTAACCTATGCTTGATCCCAAGTTTATTTACGATCCATCGTTTTGCCGGTTCAAGTTTATCCTCATTGGTCCATTGGCGAATGCACTACTGACTGACATATCCTTGCCTTCACATTCTGAACCGTTATTCATATTTCCTCTCCCCTTCCCACCCCAGCCCGAATCAGGCCCGATCAGTGGTGCCATCTCACAAAACTCGTGAGTTCTGCTGTTGCTCGACTTCACTCTATCTTCTTAGCTGTAGTTACTACCCCTCTGGATCGGTGGCCATTTCTTCTCCGATTTTTCCAATTTCTTTACTCTGATATTTCATTTTTATGCGTAACTGTTGTTGGGACAACTCGGTACTTTGGCCAGCCGATCTGATACACCTACTAAACAAATTCGGTACTTGATATGTAGGACCTATCAGTCCATTTTGAGCATCGCTTACAGCCAGCACTCCATGCCCATTCCTTTCACACTCTGTGTACCCGACGTTTTTCTGTACACCCATACGAAACTGAGCGTATCTCAGGTATTTACATCCAGACCTTTCATTTGGTCTCCTTATTGACTATACCTCTTCCCTACTATTCTCAGATCCAACTTCTTCGAGCTTGTTGGCCATTGTGTTGCCACCTTGGCCGATGTGGGGAGTCGAGTCCGAGCTCGCACACTGGAACTCGGCCCACAGTTACCGTGCACCTACACAAATGAAGGCACTGGAACAAATGCTTCCCCCAAGGTGGAGGATTCGAACGGGTTTCCTGATCCTCCAACTTTGTATAGTCTTGAGCCCGGTTCCACAAATTCAAGCGGATCAGATTTACCGTTGTTTGGAAGCATTTGTTATCGTTTGGTCGCCCAACCTAATTCTGTGCTACGTCCACTGATTTCAGGACTTTTGTGGATCCGTGTACGTTTGGTTGTCCCCGTTATTTCTAGCTTTCTTCTGCGACACAACTTTTCTACCAGTATTCTCCCGTGAATTTATGCAGTTCTGGTCTTAGTGACCAGTCCAAATGATCATTTGATACTTGAGACTCTGTGATGGTTAGCGCGTTGGCTTAAATCTGGCCTGACTTAGATCTGCTTGTTGTAGCCAACACAGCCTACACACGGGGGTTTCGTTACTACTCTAATGATTGACTTTCATAGCTACTCTGCACGCCACCGACCGCACCCGTGGGTCAAACTTGCTACGATTGGCTAGAGGCATCAACTAGTGATTCTGTGGACGTGTGTTTACATTGCTGACAGTGAGGTTTTGCTGGCTGTATGCCCCGTTTGGTATCAAACGATCCTCGCGTTGACTAGCTCTTCGAAGTAAGGTTCTGATTTGTCTAAAAGGGGCACGAATTTAAACCCCACACAGTTACTCTAACCTGATATACTTCAATGGACTCGGATACTGTCGAGTTGATTAGCCTCACGTACAGCATTGGTGAATGCAACCTGCTGGCGTAGCGATTGCAAGTCAAAGAGTCCGAACCACTAAGCCATTGACCCCCTTCCCTCCGACTTGTCTAAGGACGGATGATTGTGCTATCATCTCGCCTCATGGTGCACCTGTTCATTGTATCCTGTTTGTTCGTCTGGGTTTGGCAACACTTTGTTCCCTCTGCTCTGTTCATCTTCTAGCTGTCAGATGTCTTTTTTCCATAGAAAGCTATTCGCTGTCTTGATCACAACTACATAATCAGCGGGCTAAATTGTCGTTATGCGCATCCAGGTTGCTTGCTCATCAGATCTTCCTCCATTTCCCCTGACAGCAGCTCACTACATCTCCCGCGCAAGTTCCTGCACTTTTGCACTACTGTGAGCTGGGGGCCGGTCAGTTATGGACTCGGTTGATTCTTCATACTCCGACGGCAGCAGACCAAGTTAGTGATACATTTGTAGAAATGCTTCTTCTACTTAGCGACTATCATTTGCCCCTGTTCGCATACGTTCTCTGACGCGGTTAGTGATACGCACTTCCCCCCCCCCCCAATTATGTCGGCTCGGATGCCAGACAAATGCTCTTTGCTCTCCTCTCATCTTACCGCTTATCAGCCTACCTTAATCTATCGTGTGTGCATTCTCTGGCTAAATTTACGGTGTTTTTCTCAACTACCTACACATACAGGATATATATACTTAGGTATACTATTAAGATCGATTACACTGGTCTGTGCTTCACGAACGTTCGATCTGCCATCTGCTCATTATTCAGCTTGCTGGTCATATCTATCTCGAAATGCCGTCGTCTAGTTTGTCCTTAGCTTCAACTTCTTTTAGTGAAGACCAGTCTCTATAGGGACGCATCTCTTTCTAAGCTAATGTTTTATGGACATACGTTTACAACTGTTAACCAGTTTTCTGCTAGTAATTAAGGTGGCATGTACTAGGATGGAAATCGCCAGATGCACAGTCACGAGTGGGGGAATGGATGCGAGGGAGCCATTGATTTTGCGATTGCGTCATCACTGATTGCATATTTCACTAGCCATATACCTCACCATCTGGGAAAATGACAATCATCTCAGCCATCTTGCTGAGTTTCTCCATGCTTTTTGCCATGTCCTTGTCTGACAGTATGCGTAAACAACACAGCGAATTAGCAGGTGTGTAGAGCACGTGACCGAGCCAGGGAAGATGACTTATTTCACCAGGCACTCGAACGAGAAACCAGTGAACCTATTACTGAATTTTAGTGTTACTCACTCGGCAAATCCGCCAAATATGAGCGATACTTGGTAAGAATCGGTGATGAAACGGTTGGTATCTTACCACATTCCGTGCTTTCCGGTCAAACCTTTTACGCATTCAGTAACTGGTTAGACCGCGACATCGTGAGCCATTCCCTTAACCAATAGATTCATATCCCTTCATCTTTACAAGTAACTGAGGTTTTGAAAACCATAGCAACCTTGACAACGTGTGTGGTGACTTTTCGGCGATACGATCGTTAGTGGTAGTTACTTCGATAAGTAAACTATTCGAATACTTTGACCAATTGCTTGGGGATAATAGGGACGGTTTGTGGGCCGAGCCGGTTCTATTACTACTGCACGTTGAGGGTAGAAAGTGTATGTCGTTGCGCACATTGACTTGGTATTGATGTTGGACACCTCACTAAATGTCACAATTCTAGACTTACCTAACGAGGTACACTCGCACACTACTCTTTACGTTACAGTTATCTTTATTATGTCATATTCTCTTGTACGCTTCCGTCTTTTGGAGCCTAATCTAAGTTATGTAGTCATTGTTGTCGCGTTTTTCCAAATGAGTCCTATCCAGATATCCACGCACCATTTTTCTAACTCCCAGTCATATACCGGATTTCATGCCTTTTTTCTTACTCCTACTGGAAACAGGCTCAACGCAATCCCCAGCAAACTGATATGCAGTCGAGCAATGCGGACAGCGGTACGTTCAGCCTGAACTCGGCATCCGTTGGCACACGATCCGTTGTCCGACGCCGTATTCGTCATCGGAAAAGCCGCTCGGACTCAGAGGGACGGCTGACTCTTGCCATCACCCCGGTACGAGTTTGTCCCACTTTTTCTGTCTATGGGATTATCCATATTCGCTCAATTCTTGCTTATTTTTCTGTTGCTTCGAGCTTCTGTTGGCGAGGAACCACCCTTTATTGCTTCCATATCGAGCTTTTCTAAAACATTAGTCTTTCAATCTAACCTAGAGTTCACACTTCCGTAATCGGAAAATGTGTTCATTTGTCGCAACGAGACTGGACCGCCGCAACGTGACTGAACCTTAACGTGGTGCGACGGTTTGTGTACCTCTTCGACTCATTGAGCTATACTGGGTGGTGCCCCCGGCCCCTTGAGAGCTACTCCCACCAAGTTGGTCAATGGTCAAAGGTCAGACAAACTCAGTCTCCTGGTCCTCCAGCTTGTGGGGTTGAAATGGGATGGTGTCCATTTCTGTGAAACTGAATCTTTGCCACATTCGCTGCCTTGCAGACAGGTTTTTGAGCTAAAGGCTTTGTTTGAGGACCCTAATCGTTCTTCTGTCTAGGTCTGGACACCTTGGTAGTATCTCAGTCCTCGTACAACCATAAATTCTTCAAACTTCAGTCATATCCTGCATCTACCTTCGTCTTATCTGCTACACACAGAAAAGCGGATAAGCGGATAAACTTGCTACTGCTGGCGCTTCCCTTTTTTCTCTTACTCCCCTCTCGACCCCCATTACTAAACTTCCTTCTATAATTCCCCGCATGGTCCCAGCTGGTCTCACCATCTGCAGCTACCTTTCTGTACCACCCACTGGACGCCAGTCGGCAACAGTCCTTTATAAGACTACACTGCCCGTTTCCTTGGTGACCTTCGGCTTTCGCACTCTAACACAAATAGGTCAACAGGCTGCACGTGTACGCATGTTGGACATACTGGGTCTTGACGTGTGTTGTGTGTCCTGAACTGGGATCAATAACCCTATGGTGTAGTTGAATTAACTGCGCCTGATTTCTCCTCTCGCTATTGGTTGCACGCATCCGCAGACGCTGATTCGGCAACCACTGGTTAAGCTGGGGTGAGCATCGTTCTCAGCTCCAAGGCGGAGTCATCATTGGTTGATTGGATTCCTGTGATCGGCCGTTTGTGTTTAGTACTTTTGACGACATCAGCCAAGGTTCATTCTCGAAGTAGCACTATACCATTTTCCATTGAAGTTGGACATTCGGGCAAAACATTTACGCCTGGGGGTCAACGGGGTTGCTCCTCCGGGGCAATCAAGTTGAGTCTTCGCTATGCGGAGTAGAACCACTCACTGGCATGGTAGGGGCTGTTTCATCGATATGCGTCTGAGGTCCTATTTGCTGAAGGCGCTTGGCCAATGAAACAGCCCCTACCATGCCAGTGAGTGGTTCTATTCCGCATAACGAAGACTCAACTTGATTGCCCCGGAGGAGCAACCCCGTTGACCCCCAGGCGTAAATGTTTTGCCCGAATGTCCAACTTCAATGGTAAATGGTATAGATGCTGCTTGTTGGTGGTTTCCGCTTATGCCCCACCGATCGCAGTTCTGATGCTGCCAAGGTCACATTCTATCACGAACTGAACACGCTGCTTCGCAGTGTTACCAGTTCAGATATCATAGTTCTTACAAGGTAAATGAATGTGCAATTAGGTCGTCTGGGCTCTTCAGAAGCTGAACTGTGTGGTCATTATGGACATAACTCCGAGCGTACAGACAACGGCGAGCGTCTGTTGCAACTTTATGCGGAACATCAGCTGTTTCTTAGTAGCACCGCTTTTAGACACCACTTATAGCTGGCCAGGAGTGCACCCAAATTGATCACATTGCCATGAGTTAGAGATGGCGTGGTTGCATACTGGAATGTCGATCTTTTTGGAATACTAACCTTGATTCTGATCATGCTTTGGTACTGCGCCGTTTTTCCATGAACGTTACCGGAAGACGTACCAAGTGCCTTCCTCCATTGACAGTTGGGAAGTTACTTCAGTCCTCAGTCAGTCAAACCTACCAGGATGCCCTTCGTACTGAACTTTCGCTTTTGCCTTAATGACACAACTTCGGTGGAATAGGATCTCGGCCGCGGTGCACGACACAGGAGGATCTGCTTATGGTACTATCATTTGTCACCGCACCAGTTACCGGATATCCGAGAGGTCGGTGAACCTGTTGGAATTTAGAAAAATACTCCCGGCTGGCTCTGAGCACAATGTGACCAGTCTGACTATTAGGTGCGAACTGAAGTGGAGTTGGCATGCTGATAAGTAAGCCTGGTGAACCAACCGGGCTCGCGAAATCGAAAAATTGGAGTAGATTCATTTTGACCGCCGCCAATGTTACCTACTGACGAAGTCAAACAGAGCACGCTTCCAGATCGGTGTCTTGCAGGGCAAGACAGCAGTACGAAGCAGAGTGTATCGGCCAAAGTAATTCACGCTCATGAATCCCATAACACACGATTTTAGCATGAGCTGAAGGGTTATTGATTGGTCATTGCGAGTCAAACCAATAAGGATGCGGTGTCTGAACTAAACGAATCAATCTACTGGATGCCCGTAACATCCCTTGAGCCTTGATAACGAGAACTCGAAGTGGTTGACCGATTCACTTACCTTGGCAGCTGCATCAGCAACCATGGCCGCACGGAACCTGAAGTCAGTTCACGCATTGCAACAGCCAGAACTGCTTTCTTGAACCTACAGCATCTTTGGCGACAGGAATTTCCCTCCGTTTGAAAGGCCGTGTTTACAAGGCCACAGTGAAGGCCGCCGTCCTTCTCTGTGGGAGTGAGACTTGGCCCCTCCGATCTGATAGTCTGAGGCGTTTTCAAGTCTGCTTCTCGTTGTCTGCGTAGCATTGCTGGTCTCGGGTGGCACCAATGTGTCCGCAACGTTGATGTGCGTAGGCGAGTACTAATCAGTGATATCCAAGCTATACCTTTTTACACGCATATTAGCGTATTGTACCAAGCTTTTAGCGTGGTTCATTTTCGAAATAGCGTGCGGTACTTTCAAGTTAGCGAGGCGGAGAACGCTGATTTGGCGTCCTTGACACTCTCATTGGTTATGGGACGTAAACCAATGGGACTTCGGTTAGAAGCTGCCAGCATACGCGACAGACAGTCCAATGAAAGTGGTCGAGCACCACCTTCCGTTCTGCCCTGATGCCCCGCTGGAGTAAACCTCGATGATTGGTCTCCAACCTGAAATCGACCAATAGGTAAATTGTGATGCTTGTCAAAGGAGGAGATGCTAGCTACCACACTATCCAAAGCTTAAGACTTAACCAGTGTGGATAGACATACTAACCAGCACATGTAGCGGTCTATGGCGATCACTGGCGGCTACCTAATGGTGGCTTATTCAGCGGCCTAACCATGGTGGCGTAGACAGGCAACCATCTAACTCGTATTCCACAGTACAGCAATGGCTGGTAGGCGGTTAGACAATTGTGTGCGAATGTCATTGCAACGATCATGGGGGACACAGTTCCCACAGAAGTTAGTAGACCAACCTGAAGCTGAACAACGACAATTCTAAGGTTGCTTAATTCGATCACAGTTGACGACTCAACAAAAAATAAGAGGATTCCAAGTGTGGCGCTGACACGACGTCAGTGAGTGTTCGTTTGCATCCATACCCATGGGCGAAATGTTAATCAGTTGTCGCTTCAGTGTCTCTATGTATGGCGTTACCTAAAGGTCATAGGAAGCTATGAATTTATAGGATCATTAGGTTTCACTTCCATATGGTCGCCCATGGTGACGTAGACAGAGAATAATCTCACTGGTATTCCGCACGTCAGCAATGGCTGCTAGGTAGTTATATAATTTCGCGCGATGGTTATTGCGACGATCATGGGGACATTGTTCCCATTGAAGTTAATAGACCAACCTGAAGCTGAACAACGAAAATTCTATGTTCGCTTACTTCTATCTCAGTTGATGGCTCAACAAAATGTGAGAGGATTCCAAGTGTGGCGTTGACACGACGTTAATGAGTGTTCGTTTGTCTCCCAACCCATGGGGGCATTTGTTAGTCAGTTACCACTTCAGTGCCTACATGTATCGCGTTATGTAAAGGTCATAGGAACCTATGTATTCTTAGGATAATTACACTTCACTTCCATATGATCGCCCATACGTGTTGAGACGCTTTAACAAGTGGCTCTCCAAATGGAACCATTATAAGCACAGTCAATGCAGATGGAACCTCCCTATTACGTCAATGGACTGGCATGCTCTCCTCAAAGAATCGGCATTACTCAACAAAGTAACACTTAAAGGGGCCACAATGACTACGGTGTTTATACATGCCACATCGTCCTGCTAGAAAGAACGCAAGACTTATGATTAGTGGCGACGCAGGCATGTTACTCTGGTACTTCAGGTGAGTACTTGGAACAGATAAACACTGTTGTCTCACCCACGGGCGTTCCTACAATGTGTTTGCAATCATTTACAAAGGCAACCGCGCCCACTAAGCCTGCTATGGATCACTGTTTCAGCTAGTCTTAGAAGCATTCATGTATGCACGCCGTGACACAGGTTGTTAGCGACTTAGCAACTACTGGGAAACATTTTGTCATTGGGAAGTAGGTAATTCCGGAGACGTTGTTGAAGGAGGAAAATTTCTGCAATCTCTATGCTTACTATGCGTATTCAATGCTCGTAGGCACCTCATATCAGGGCCGTAGGGTCACTTGAGATTTAAAGCTTATCAATCACTTGGAAGTGAAGGGTAAATATCATGTTGAAACGCAGGATTGACATGCATCTTACGACCTTAACATAACGGCAGGACCATGGGTCTTGTAGCGGTAACTGATTACCGAAGTGGCGCACAGGTGGGGCGATGAACGAACACTCACTAATGTCGTGTCACCGCCACACTAGGAACCCTCCTCTCTGGAACAATGGCTACAGATCCAATGATGATCTTACCTACACAGCGAACTTGATCTTAGTATACAATGCGCCGACTACATAAGCAATACCTATCTACGCTATTCACAGGAGTGTACGGCCAACTGAAAAAACACAGCA